CAGCACTATGGTGCTTATTTGCATGATTACTTGTATTTACTACTACATGACTTTAGAAACTCATTCTTTCCTTATTTTATATGCATATTTTCCTCCTATGTATACTGTACATTGTCTCAGATCAGAGATCAAGTCTCCAATTTATTTCTATTTGTCCTTTTTTTCTTAGAACAATTTGCAGAATTACTGGAACAACAAAAAGAAATACTTTGTTGTCTGACCAAATTTTCCCAGCTGGGTGGGAGGAGATAGAAAATGGCTGACTAATGCATACTTTGTTCATTGTTTCAAAGCCACAGAAATCTTTCATCAGTGTTTTATTTCCAATTTTTCCCCTCATGTCCCTCTCAATGGATGGAATTCACTCAAAAATGCCAAAGCATAACAAGTCAATCTGGTACAGTGGAATGAGCATGCATGTTGGGTTCAAACAGCAGGCTTTATTTAGCCTCAACTGTGTGATTTTGGACATCTCATTTAACCTCTCTGAGTCTGAAACTCCTCATTTAAAAAATGAAAATATCAATATCTAATCACATATTCATTCATGTCTTATTTGCCCCTTCAGTATCCCAGCTTCATGATATTTCCAGATATAACCTGGTCACCTTCATAAATACATTCATATCCTGAATATGTATTTCCAATGGAACTTGATGCTGTTTCTTTATGTTAGTATTTGCAGAAAGCAAAATTCTAAACAGGGTTTAACTTGAAGATTTTGAGAAATAACACTAAAACACAGTAACTATTTCAAAACCTTCTATAAAGGTCAAATAGATACTTTCGATGCCAAAATATTCTAGAACTGGAAAGTGACAAATATATTAGAACACCCACGGAGAAACCTGTTTTCACTTTAGAGTAAATATTTTTTTCTCACAAAAATATTGTTGCGTTGAATGGTAGAAAACTGCCAAAATTTAGAGGAAGTTAAGCAATATCAGAATGCAATTAAAAATAAATTAGTCATAGCTGTGATCAAGGGGCTTTCCGAACTGCACTTGAGAAGATCAGAAAAATTAACACGAAACTGCCATTGAAGAGCAAAACTTACTTGTATAATTTTGAATAAGAGCTTAAAAATTGAAGATACAAAATGATATTGGCTCTTTTTAAATATGTTCCTTCAGCCTATACCAAATTAACTAATCTATAAATCAGAATATTTCATCTTCGGCTTACAGAGTCATCAACACTGGAAAGTCTAGAATATCTTAAAGTCAACATATTGTCAAGGTTTTAATGTTTTGGTGACAAGATAATAAAATGATCCAAACAAGATTTATTTAACCCAGCAAATAGCAATTTTGCCCCATATTAACATTATATTGATATTGTTTTCCAAGTGTACTTTATAGCCCTAAGGAAAACCTTGAAGAATGAGAATTGGATTTTAACTTGGAAAAACAGCTGAAACTTAACCAGTTGGAAAATTTCATTGAAATATAAGAGATTTTCTTTACTTTAAGTTTTTACTTAAATTCTAGTTAGTTAACATACCGTATAATATTGGTTTCAGGAGTAGAATTTAGTGATTCATCACTTACATACAACACCCAGTACTCATCCCAACAAACACCCTCCTTAATGTCCGTCACCCATTTAGCCCATCCCCCCCCCAATCAATCCTGAGTTTTCTCTCTGTAGTTAAGAGTCTCTTATGGTTTGCCTTCCTCTGTTTTTTCCCCTTCCCCATGTTCATCTGGTTTTGTTTCTTAAATTCCACATATGAGCTAGAGTGTATTATGCTAAGTGAAATAAGTCAGTGAGAGAAATACAAGAGGTTTTAAGCGAGCTCCTCTTGTGAACTTTTCTCCAACATCAAGTGAAGCAGTTTTCTGCTTTACCTGGAGATGGAAGTTGGTAGAATGTTGGCAGGCCTCTAATCCCATAGTTATGGAGAATGCCAGTTGAACTGCCTTTCTAGGCTGCCAGACTCCTCCCAAGCCACATCATCTGGAGTAGTGACCTGAGAAGGTAAATCAGTAGGTTTCTAGAGCTGCTTGCACCCCTCCAGGCAATGCCAGTGAATTTGACCATGGGATTCAGTTCATTCTCTCTTTCTGCTACCGTGTGGTGCTGCCTACATTTCTTTCCATCCTTTAGAAACCCCTCATGGGAAGTCACTGTCTATTTCTTGCTCCTGGAGACACTGTGGGGTTGCTGCAGGACCTCAGGGCTGATAACCAATTGTCTCAATTCGAATCTTGACTCCACCATCTTCTCCTTTAATTGGAACCTTGGGGAACTCACTTCCTCAAATTAAGCCTCAGTTTACTCATCTGTTAAAATGTATGTGACTGTAAAATGACCTAAACTCCAGGGCTGTTGAGGAAAGAAGATGGTTTAATGCAATATGGTATGGGCTGATTCCATGTAAATGATTGATACCTACTGAGATGTATTCTGTGAGCAGCCCCTGTTCTCTTGACCTTGTTATACAACTCTTCCCCCAAATGTACCCATATTGGATATCATTTCACCTGGGACTCTCAAATCAACAAAATAATTGAATCTAACAAACTGTTATGGTTTCTTTAACATTCTCACTTGAAAACTCCTTCTTGGCTCAAATGTAACCTCCTCTGTGAGGTCTCCTCAAGCCAATTGAGGAACATTTCTGCCCTTATCTGGTCATCCCTTCAACGACCATTGCCTACATTGTTTCTCATCAATCCCTAATAAATACTTCTCTTTCTTCCACAAAACTAGTAACTCAAATGCAAGGTGTTTGTCTTCAGCTCTATCTTCAGGGACAAAATATAACAGTTAATCATATACGTTAAGTAAACAAACGACTATGATAACAAATTAATAGCTGAAAACATTGGCATGATTTCACATTTTTGTGAAATCACATCCAAGTGTTAACTCAATCAGGTAATAATTATTATACAGATGTTAGAGCCAGCTGGCTTGGTGTAGGGCAATCCCTACCTTAAAAAAATCCTTCATAAGACTTGGTGATAATGGCTAGATTTCAGGCATTTCGGATGCTTTGAGAGAACCAAAAGTTAGCACTCTCACCGTTAAGAAATGGGACAAAGAAGTAAGGTAGCTGGAGCCTACAGTATTTATTACAGAAGCACCTGATATTGGAGACTGTGTTTAATGTTTGTGATTTTATTCCTAATCCTCAACTACAGAACTGGCTTGACTACACACCTTATCACAAAGGTCTTGTCCCATTTTAAGACTGAAAACACAGTATTAGCTTCTCAAAAAGTAAATATTTGATGACTGGATCAAGAATGAATGAATGAATTTCATTAGGACCCTAAGTATGGAGAGATGGTGTCCAAACTACAAAGGGTATTATTATTTGAAGGAGAGAAGAGAGAAGAGGGGGTGGCTGGACAAAGAACTAAAACAGGAGACTGCCTTCTCTTCCTCCTTTTCTTCCATCTTGCATGGGAATTACCAAGTGTTCTTTTTATGCTGGTAGACAACCCAGGGGAGAGGGAGAAGTTAAATGTACACGAAGAAGAGGGATAACCAAAGAGATAGAATCTTAGGGAAGACAAAAGAAAAGTTAGTAAGTTAATAAGTTAAAAGTTAATAAGAACATTTGAGAGCTTAAACTTGAAAAGATGAGGGAACACTTCCTTCATTAAATAGAGGAGAAAGGAAAGGCTGTGGTGGGGAAAGCCAAGTAGAGTTTAGATGACCATGGGAAGAGCTTCCTTTTTGATTGCTTCTGTTTCCACCATAAAATATGGGAGTTGGGTTGGGGGTGGGGTTGCTGGGGAAAGGAGGTAGGAGATTTTAAGGGAAAAACAAGATATAAAATATTGTGAGTTATGGGAAAGAATAAGAGTACTAGAAAAATGTAATAGGCTATAGGGCAGATTTGAAGACTCCATTAAGAACTGGTGACTTTCTTAGCATAAGATCCACATACCTAGAAAATTAAAAGTTGGCTGTTTCTAGTTTCATTGGGAGTTATATCTAAGCATTAATTGGATGCTTCAATTTTTTATTTTATTTTTTATTAAAAAACTTTTAAATGTTTATTTTTGAGAGAGGGAGAGAGAGAGAGAGAGAGGCAGAGAGAGAGGAAGACACAGAAACGAAAGCAGGGCTCAAACCCACAAATTGTGAGATCATGACCTGATCAAATTCCGATGCTTAACTGACTGAGCCACCTGGGCGCCCCGCCTTTTTAAAATTTTTAAATGTTTATTTATTTTTGAGAGAGAGAGAGAGAACGCATGTGAGCGGGGGAGAGCGCAAGCTTCAATTGTTACAGAAACTTACAACTATGCTTTGAGCACACCAAGTCAAAGGGAAAAGAGAAAGAAACTCAGGAGTATACTAATATCACTTTTAACTTATACTGCTTTTAAGGCACATCTAGAGAAAGATCTCTGGGTTTTTGTAAGATGTCTGAGAACTTTTAAGTAAAATATTAAAATTTTTGAAGCCTGAAAAAATTAAACAAAATATAATTTAAAAATTGGGAACATGAATTTGAATTGTAGCTTACTTCTCTGGCCTATAAGAAGTTGTCCTCATCTACAACCCTTTCCCAAGGCTACAGGTGCAGGTTAGGCAGAGGAATACTTTGCCCCAGAATTCAAGAATTCACTAGCAACTGCTGCAGGTATTCTGGAGTGTTCTAGAAGAGCTGCACATACAGGATAACCACAAAGGGGACAGGTAAGGAAATGTTAATTGACTCCTCTCTCTCTCCCTCTCTTTTGGCCCTATCCTAATTCAGGATCATGTAACTTTTATCCATATTATTATGTTGGTCTCCATTTTTCAAAGTAAAATGTTTCTAATCTAGCTGGATTAAAATCATTGAATGGTTTTCCACTGCATTCACAACAAAGATCCTGAATTATGGTCCTGAATATCTGGCTCTTGCCTCCCTGCCACCTGCTCCTCACTCTACCACAGTGTCTTTTCTCAGGGCCTTGAAGAAGCCATGTTCTCTCGTGGCCTCAGGGCCTTTGCTTTGTTATATTACCCAGAGTTTTCCAGAGAAACTGAACCAACAGGAAGTGTGTGTATGTACAAACAAGGAGAGAGAGAGCACTTTGTTTGAAAGAATTGACTCACATAATTGTGGGATCTGGAAAGTCTGTAATCTGCAAGGCAACCAGCAGGCTGGAGACCCACAGAAGAGTTGACATTGAATCTTCCAGTGTGAAAGTCTTTTGGAGGACGAATTCCTTCTCAAGAGACCTTAGCCTTTTCTCTCACACCTTCAGCCGCCTGGATGAGGCCCATCCACATTATGTAAATTAATCTACTTTACTCAAAGTTCACTGATTTAAATGTTAATCTGATCTAAAAATGCCTTGACAGTAACATCTAGACTAGTGTTTGGCCAAAAACTGGGTGCCATGGCCTACCCAAGTTGACACACGCAAGTAACCTTCACACCTATGACACCACTTCTGCCCACGATGCTCTTCCTCTTGACTAAATTGTCACTTGTCTGGCCTTCTTGACCACCTCCTCCCTAACTGGGTTATATCCTTCTGTTATAGGCTCGTAGAAGGCCCTTTATTTCTCCATCACAGGCATGATTTAAAATTTTTCTTAATGTTTATTTATTTAGTTAGTTAGTTAGTTAGTGACTGAGTGAGAGAAGAAGGAGCAGAGAGAGAGAGAGAGAGAGAGTCCAAACAGGTTCCATGCTCAGTATGGAGCCCAACACAAGGCTCAATCCCATGACTGTGAGATCATGACCTGAGCTGAAATCCAGAGTATGAAGCTTAACCAAACAAGCTACTCAAGAGCACCCACCATAGGCATGATTTAATTCATAATGTATTTGATTCCTGTTTGGCTCTGTCTTGGCATGAATATAGAAGCCACACCTAATTGTTCACCACTATGTTTGCTGGTCCCAGGCACCATGTTGCACAAAGTGTATGCTCAGTCAAAACCAATAAGCACAAGAAATCTCCATATGTCTACCAAGTGGAATTTATAATGTATTTATAATCATCACTCACTTGTTTCAAATGTTTCATCCATAATAACTATAAATAATAGACCAGTAACATTTACCAGGTACTTTCAGTTTGTAGATACTCAATGTTAACTTATCCTATCAGATACCTCTTTTGTACCATTTTAAATCCTCTCAACCTTATTGTCTCTGAGGCTCTTGACCACCATTCCACTCTAGGCCTGGTCCTTGTAAAACCAATTTCTCTGGGGCAAACTGACTGCACTTACCTCATGCCTGGTTATTCCATTTCTCCCCTCCAGCCCCAGGGTTCCTCTCTCTGTGGCTGCTGAGATATGATTGTTTCAAGACCCATGAGGCTCCTATGCTTGCCCAACCTAAAAATGTGGGAGAGATGAAGTGCTGAGGATGAGGAATGAAACTTGGACCAATAGAAAGGGACAGAAGACAAAGTCTTCCCCCCTTCCCTAACCCACCAGTCCCAAAATATAATAGTGCACAGGGCCCCTTGGGAGATGGTCCCATGAGACTCAGTAGTCACACAACATGATACCTGGGACTGACCAGAAGTCAGATATAATCCCCCCTGCCCCGCCCCCCCCCCCCCCCGCCATTTCTGCTCTTTCCTTTCTTGCCTCACTGCCCTTGTCCTTCATTCTGGATTTCCTGGCATTAGACTCCTCTGTATAGTCTTAATGCATAGCTTTTGTACTAGGTTCTATTTTCTAGAGCACCTGGGCTTAGACATTCATTTCATTTTCACAACTGGAGGATGAGATCCAGTTTGTGTTTTAAATGCTCATCTTGGTGCAGTGTGCTAACAGATTGGAGGGGGAGAAGGGAGGAAGTGGGGAACTAAGGAATTTATGGCAATGGTCCCAGTGAAAGATGATGGTGCTAAGGAAAAGAATGCCAGCTGTAAAAATGGAAAAAAGTGAACAAGTTTGAGATATCGCTTCCTCTTCCTTCATAGTCCTTTTCATGTGAACTGCCATTATGTATTTACATACTTGCCTATTTTACTATGAATATTCTATCTGTAGGAATTGCTAGCATGCTTCAGAAACATAGTATATTTCTGTTGTATGAATGAGACAGCATGATAATTCCAGACACTCAGGAAAACAGCAATAGGTTGTTCAGAAGGTTACAGTGAACTAACTCCAGGGAGGAAAACAAATATATATATTCCATATATATATGGAAAAATGGAATATATATATGTATATACAGAATACATATATACATATATATACACATATATATATGTATATATATATATGATGTGTTGATAGGAAAAGGGGCAGATATTCATTGTTATGACAGGACAACAAAAAATAAATAAATCAAGACTGTCTCAGGCAAAATCTGGATGTGTGTTCATACTAAGCATATGTCTACTGCATGTAACTTACTATGAATTTTGAAAGTATAATAGTCCAATAATTCTGTTAACTAAAGTATATTTCTAATAGAAGCTGTGTTTGCCAAGAGTTTATTAGCTATTAGTCTTCATCGCTGAATATAAAACGTGAAATTTTTGTTAAATTATTATCCATTAAAAGAAGAAAACATGGACATAATCAGGAGAGAAATACTTTTTAAGCCCTCCTGGCTGAACTTAGCAATTTTGAAAGCAGTAGAGACTAGTTTCTAAGAGCCCTGGAGTCAGGCAGAATATGACTTTTAAATCTCTTACTCCATTTACTTTTTACTTAACCATTTAGGGATTCATGTCTGTATCATGATAACTAGCATAATGATATTCTAATTGTTACAACACTTTGACTGTGACAGGAAGTTTACTCCTGGGTGAAGCCAAAGTAACAATAACAACGGGACTTATTGATTCATTTATTCCTTCATTCGGCAAATAGTTGCTGGGGCCCACTATGCAATAGGCATGTTTTTGATACCGGGATACAGCGGTGAAGAAGCAGGCCAATCTACCGCTCGTGTGACGCTCAGACACTTGTGGAAGAGGCGGAGAAGTTACACAGAGGAACCAGCCATCATAGATAGTGGCAGATGTGGTTGGTTTCTGTGAGCAAACAGGCAGATGAAGGGTAGAGAGAGTGATAGAAAGTACATATTTAGAAGAGTGACCGATAGGACTTCTCCGAGGAGTTGGATATTTGAGCAGAGGCCTGAAGAGAGTGAAGGGGGTAGTGATGAGAATAGCTGAGGGTCTGGGGGGAAGGAGTGGGGGTGGGGCGCAGTTCAAGCAGAGGGAACAGCAAATGCAATGGCCTCGGTGAGAGTCAGTTTGGCCTCTTCCAAACAAATCAGGAGCTTCAGAGGAGTGAGCAAGGCAGGAAGAATGACGAGATGACTGTGAAAACACAATGAGAAGTTGTTGAGTAGGAAGGGCCCAGGAAAGACTTGGTTCAGAGTTTAAGTTCAAGTGTGATGTCACTCAAACTTGTTTTCTCTCCATCTCTTGGCTTTATTTCCTCCTGTTTCCATTGTCAGGCAAGCTTCCTCCTCCTGGTATCCAGATCCATCTGCGGCTCTAGGTGTCCTGGATTCATTGGAAAGAGGGTCACCCTCTGCCTAGTAGCTCCTGCAAAACCTTTAGATAATCTGTAATTTGGCCAACTTCTATCTACAGCCATCTCTACAAAAATCATAGGACCAGCAATTGATTCTATGTCCTCGACTTTGGCCACTCAACCTGTACATCTATCTGGGTCGAAGAAGTGGAGTAAGAATAGAGCAGGGATGCAAAAGCAGGATAAGGCACTGTGCTCAAACAAAAATCCAGAGGTATTAAAGGATGTAGGGTGAATGGATGCTGGATGAAAACAATTCCACTACACAGGGGAACCATAATAACTTCTATCATCATCATCACTACTACTATTATCAATAATGGGAGAAAGGCATGGTAATCAAATTATGTACCACATCCTTTAGTGTTTATTTTCACTTTACATTAGCAACTCAGCAAACTTTATGTGGTTCTTTTTATTTAAAAACAATTTTTTTTAATCTTTATTTATTTTTGAGAGAGAGACAGAGTGTAAGCAGGGGAGAAGCAGAGATAGAGGGAGACACAGGATCCGATGCAGGCTCCAGGGCCTGAGCTGTCAGCACAGAGCCCGACGCAGGGCTCGAACTCATGAACTATGAGATCATGACCCGAGCCGAAGTTGGACGCTCAACCAACTGAGCCACCCAGGTGCCCCATATGTGGTACTTTTTAAAATATGGGTTAATTTCTTCACAAGGAATCTTCTATAAAAAAAATAATTTTTAATCTTTCAAAAATTCCAGAGTAAAGAGTCTCATCATTTATTGCTAATTAGAACCAGATGGAACCACCCAATGATTGCATATAGTAGTATTCTGGTGGCCTTATGTGGAAAATTTCAGTATATCCACTGATTACCGAGGGGATAGCCAGGCTGATCTTACCTCTATAAAAGCATATTACACAATACAGTGGTCTGTGATAGAAAATTGTGAGTATGGACTCAATATATCTTTTTTCTCTTGAGAAAAAAAGAAAGACAAACATATTATGAAATGGTTAATCCAGTTAACCAGATAAAAATAGTTTTTAATCTGTCAAGTAAATATTAACATTTAATTAAAGGTGAAAATTTGCCCCACAGGCCTTAGGTTTGTCAGACCTTTGATACTTTTAGTGTCTCATTTACTTGAGAGCTTAGATAAACTATGTGGAAAATATCAACCACATAATTCTGTTATGCAAAGCCCAAATTATTGAAATAGTATTGCTTGTCAATTTAGACCTCCTTAAATTGTACTTTTAGATAAAGTTAGCATATTTTCAGCTTTATAATACTCATGTATATGTAAAAACCTTACAACATTAAAAAGTAAAACAAGTTTATTCATTTCAAAATAATTTTTTTTAATTCCACATAAGCACATACTGTAAACAGTGGAAATATTTAAACCATATTTGTAGTTTGGAAAATTGGCCTTTACACAATGGTTTGGCTCAAAACCACATTTTCAGATTTTGGTTTCAATATGGTTATCTGTGCTCATGCATTTACTTCTCACTCTTGAAATATTGAAGTTACACAAGGAGTCTAAAAATAAGAATATATCTATCAATGCATTGGAAACTGAGATTTCCATGAAAGACTGAGAATCTTTGAGAAATTGTTGGAAAATACCAAGCAGATAGAGGCAAAGGAGAGGTCCATGTTTTCGGTAGGTGGGTAGTATTTCTCACTGAAAAATGTGAAAAATAAAAATCTAATCTTGGAATGATAATGACTGGAGGAAAGATTTAGCTGCTTAGATAATCTGGAGATGAGTACTATTTGTCCAAGTTCTTTCT